TGGCTAACGAAAATTCGGATTTCCCAGGCTGAAATTAGCTGGGTGACTTGTTGAAGTCATCATAAAAAGGAAAGTATTTGTCGGGAAGCCTGAGCTGTTCTGACTAGTCTCTTCACCTCGGAGATGGTTGATCTTAAAATGGCTTGCCACCGCCAGCACGACTTCAGTACGGCCCATACCTCGTCATCATTCGTATCCCACTGAATACCGTTCAGAGTTGGCATTCACTTATTCATTATCTTAAGTGTTTGGGAGCATTAAATGACCGATGAGCTGATTGAAAAACGGGCTGACCTCTCAATATCTTTTGAGGGGCAATTCCAACTGCACACCGAGGTTGTCGGGTATTTCCTTAGACGTAATGTACCGTGTAGTTCGCACAGCATCCTCAGAACTTAGCAATCTCTTTCAGAACTATGTTTCTATCCGTTGCTGCAATTATTGAATGTTTAGGACTCAATCTACTTTGTCTTCGATTTTTTCACGATGAGAGTTCCTCTAGCAGGACTCGTTACCGGTTGGATGGCTACACTACCAGTTGGCCGATATATTACTGCTCTTTACATGCTATCATTCTATTTACTTTACTTGGTTATGTACTCTGCAACTGTTCTGGCAACAATAAGAGCAATCGTTATTTGCTCATCGAATGGAGGCGATGAGGTATGGTAAACTTGAATATAAGCATAAAAAATAAATATGTAGGGGCATCAAAACACCCACTCGCACTTCTACCTGTTGCAAAGGAGTCACAGCTGGTACGATGTTTACAGTATGTACTAGGCCATGAGCAAAAACTTTTGGGCTCTCATCCTCACCTCCGTTCGGCCCTAATGGATCCTTTTTCTCAACCGCTCCTCTCCACCTCCTTAGCCATCAAATCGTGCAATATCGATACTTTCAGATGGTCAAACGACTACTTCCCGTATTTTTTCTGGCTATTTATCTACTACCGATACTGACAACATGGTTCCTTTATCCAGCAGTGACCTATATAAGAATGGATTCCAGGGTTTTACCTGGTTACGGAGCAACTTTCGATTACGTGAAAGTTTATCCAAATGTTAGTGTTTTCCTTGCCA